AGAAGTGCATTTAAGTAACATGTTGTGTAATTCAGTCCTGATTATAGACAGGATGAGAGTTCAGAGAAAAGAAAGGAAATTATGGGGCTAGAGGGATCAGAGAAGGCTTCATGGAAGGAGTGTCATTTGAGAAGGCTCTGGAAGGATGGTGATAATTTGGAAAGTAAAAGTCAAGAGGGACAACACTCCACACAGAAAAGATGTGGCTGGAATGAGAATGATATGAGTTTGGAGAGAGCACAAGAAGGGGCACATAGGGTGGGGTTTTATGGTATGGAATGACTTGGTTGACTAAAATGAATGATGTGTTTGGGGAAGCAGTAAAAAGTAAGATTGGATTGATAGAAGTGTGTGTGTGTGTGTGTGTGTGTGTGTGTAAGAGAAAGAGAGAAAGGGCTGTAGAGGAACCCAACTATCGGGTAGAGCTCAGTGTGGAGGCAACAGAGAATGTGAGTGGTGAGCAGGGAGCAGCAATGAGCAAGGTGGTGCTCGGGGTGATAGATCCGACAGCTGTGGATGAGGCAGATTTGGAGGATGAGAGACTGGTGGCAGAAAGACCACTCTGGAAGTTGTCATTAGTGATTCAGGCCTAAGGTAGTAAGCTTCCCTATTGGGAGAATTAAGTAAAGTGTGAACCAGAGAGATGTCTCAATGAAAAAAGTGTGAGATGTGAACAGATTCGATACAAAGGATGAAGAGAGGACAATTCAATGTGGCACCAGTGTTCTGAGTCTGGAAGAACAGGAGTGTCCCTGATAAATGGGAATGACAGCCATAAAGGGGGAGGCAATTTTGTCCCAAATCAGTGACCCTTGATCTGGGTATTTCCTCTTCTGAGATAGTTCTCTTCCTAAATCTTCAAAAGGTTCAAGCCTCCACTTCCTATAACCCAAGGACTTTTATTTTAATACTTTCTCTCCATTTTTGTTTTCTTTTGGGCAAGTTTAATTTACATTTTAATAAATACTGCATCTGAGCCAGGTCTTTCTAACCAAGTTTTTAAAGTCAAATGTGCATAGCCTAAAAGAACTACATTTAAAACGGAAATAAAAGAGACTTTGTATGTAAGGAACAAAAGTGAGCTTTTTGTTTGTTTGTTTGTTTTTAACTTATATCCCCTTTGCAGAAATTCCAGCCCAGAATCTTTTTCTTCCTATTATTCAGAGATTCACTTGTACTTTAGGAAATGAACTAAATATTTGGTAAATTCAATGAAATAAATTACTCAAACTAATGGCTTGGAATTGTGAAGACAAAAGAATTATCTGATTGACTGAATCTTTGACTTTTCAATTGTTTGTTCTGATGTTAAGGAGACGCCATTTAAATTTTCACATTTGTCACATTTCAGCTCTATCTACACAATGCCAAAAGATTCTCTCAGTTCAGTCAATTCAGGTGTTCAGCATTGTGTAGATAAAATATCTCTATTATTGACTGTATATTTCAAAGGAATTGATTGGGTCTTTTGGTATTTTGGAGGCACAAAAACATCTTGGTAAAAGACTATAATGTGGATAAACACATTCAATTCAAATATTTGCTTTCCACAGGATGCAGGGTATTCAAAATTTTTTATAGATCAGGCTACCAGTTTTGTTTTTAGTTGAGTCACACTCTAATGTATTTTTCTTTTCTGACGGTATATCAGGTGGGAAAACTATGTAACATAGTCCAAATCGAAGCACCAAAAGTTAAAGGCAAAATTTTCATTATAGGTTTTATTTGACTAAACAAGCCTTTGAAATACCAAACGGTCTTTGTTTCCATAAATTTCTTAAAAGCTACCTTACTAGAGGAATGTTAGTAGCCCAAGAAACAAAAGCAGCTTTCCTTTTTAAAACAATCCATGCCTTTTGTTGTTGTTGCTATTAACAATATGAAAGCAATCACGTGCATTATGGAAAACAGAAAACTAGGAAGAAAAAAGGCATCCTTTACCCCACCTCTCAAAATCACAATCTATTAACATTTAGTTATATTCTTTTTGTTATGTTCTTAATCTTTTTTATGTAATTATAGTCAAATATACATATAATTTTATATCTTGCTTTTACACAAAATGTTGACATTGATATTCTCAAGGAGAATAGCGCAGAGTAAAAGAAAATGGATAAGATTGTGAGTCACTTTCTCTCAGCCTCAGTTTTCTCATCAGTAAAATGGGAATAACAATTATTCATAGAGTTGTTGCTCAAATCAAATGAGATGCTTCAGACAAAATTCACCTTTGCTCTCCTCCCACCTGTCCCGTCAGCTACGCTTCCCTCACTCCTGTCCTCCTCAGTGATCTCCACCCCCCTAGACAGCCTCCTATCTCTGTCTTAAGCAATATCTAGTAATATGATGCGCTCATGGAAAATGAAGAACTCAGATAAACAAAGAGCTTAAATGGGTCTTTTCTCTCCTCCCCCTGCCTCCCTCCAACTCCTACCTCCAGTGCTATTTACTTATTAATGAAGAAATCTTAAGCAAGGAAAAACCTTTAAGACACAAAGAAAAGGAAGCATAATGGTGGAATGCCAGGCAGTAGGGCTAATATTTGGGGGCATCAAGTCTCTTAAGTTGTATGGGTAGCTTAATCAATGATTAACTTTACAAAGCAAATTAATGATACTAAACTCTTCAGCATTAGGCCCAAATCAGAGGTTTCTGAAGTTTACTGGGACCATTTTCATAGTGTACTTACAGGCCCATCTTTTGTTTCTAATTGTTTTATTTGTTCTACTTGTCTGCGTTCAACTATATCCTTAATAGTATAAAGGTCTCTAAGTTGGAAAAAAAGTACAATTTTTGTCACTTAGCACACAGATATCTAAGTGTACCACCGTATTTTTATCGTTAAAGAATAGCTTTCCATTTTCCAATCTGCATCCTGTGTAAGGAAAGACTTTGCAGATATCCCATAAATTGACTAAGCGACAATCCCCTGCAGTTAACTGCTCTGTGTCCTTTAGTTAGATGAACACATATTGTTCATTCTCAATTTTATACTTGCAGCTTTGAGCCATAATTTTGCCAGTAGAGAGAAATAAATTTTCCTATATGCCTCCACTCCTACAGAATTCTCAATTTGGTCACACAAAAAGCACCTTAAAATCAGCTAACCTTGAAAATGGCAAACTATTTTATACTTCTTCATGTTGCCTCTTGTGAATTCTTTAAACTGCAAACAGATATTCCAAGTTCCAGACAGGTTGGGCTGAACCATGTTCTTAGCCACTTTTACTCTTTTTTTTATGGGTTAGGGGTAAAGTGAAAGGTATAAAGCTAGAGCAAGGTCAACATTAAGCAAAATTTTGCAGTAGGTCATTTTATAATCAATATCCTCCTAGATTTAATGAGGAAGACAGTTCAACACAAAGAGAGGATAGGAGATAACTGGGCACATACAGGGAGAGAAGAGTCTAGTATCGCCAAAACGGGATAATGAAAAGGAATTGTCAAGTGACTATAGTCCTGCTACATCTATCCTCTCCTCCCCAGCCCTGCCCTTTGTCATTCTGCCTACTTTCACCCATATCCATGGTCACAGCTACCACCTGTGAGTCTCCAGTACACAGCTCTAGCAAAGACATCTCCTGACCCATACAGTTAATTGAGTTTGGACATCATGTAAGTACATCAAATCCAATATGTCTAAAATAAGACCCAGTATGTCCCCTCATTAACCCCTACCTCCTTCTTTCTTTCCTATTTTAGGTTCCCCAGCCAGAAATCTAGCAGTCCTTCTGAGTACCTTTTTGTCCTATATCTTCCCCCCCAAATCCCAGTAGTAGCCAAATCCTAGTGATTCTAGCTCATAACTCATATCTGACCTGCTCCACTCACACTACCATTTCCCTAAGTCACCATTTCTCACCTGCTCTATTTCAGTACACACCTCACCAGCCTCTCTGATCCCAATCTACTCTCTCTCAAATCATTCTGCACATTGCTCACTAAGAGACCTCTCTAACACAGAGATATGTTATTAAAGTGAAGTTTATAGTTCCCTGAGGCCTAGAGTTTAAACTCTTTGACATAACAAATAAGATCCTGGCTCCTTCCTGTGTTTTCATCTTCATCTCTTGTGGCCCTCTTAACTTACACTTTATGCTCCAGTCATGCTGAATTATTTGTAGTTCTCTGAACTTACTATGTTCTCTCAGCTGGCACACGCTTCATCTGGCAAACTCCCACTTATCTTCCAAATCTCAGATCAAAACATGCCCCCTATGCACCATATCAAGCCCTCCCTGAATTTCTCAGGCAGATTTACATAACTGAATGCCTAACTATAACTATGTATATGAGGTGTTTTACCTATGTTTTCATAGTACTTTGCATATACTTCTGGTTTAGTAATTCTCAAGTATCATAATTTTTAGCATGTCTGCCTTCCCACTACCGCTAACATCCTTAAGACTAGGGCCTTATAACCCCAGTGCCCTCAGCACAGTATCTGGCATATAGCAGGCTCCCAAAAGTGTATATACACAGTCATGTATGATAGCCAAATAATACAGGCTTTGCAAGATCAGGTTATTAGCATCTCTTCCCAGCTCTGCATTCAGTGACATCACACTGGTTGCTTAAAATTGGCCATGGTTGGAGTTTCTTACACTACAGAAATCAACAAATGACAATTCAGTGCCCTTCCCTTTTTTGTGGAGAGCCAATTGTTAAATGTTTTTCAGCACAGTTCTGTGAATGTGTGTATGTATCATCTATAATTTTACATATAATAAATGAAAGTGTAAAAGAGTATATGCATGCATGCTTCAGGGCTCAATCAATCCCAACATTCTATTTTGTTCCCTGAAAAATTACTGTTTATTTATGCCATATCCTTCTCCGATTTTAATTAAGATTTCCTTGTCTTTTGGGCCGGCCCCGTGGCTTAGCAGTTAAATGAGTGCGCTCCACTGCTGGCAACCCAGGTTCGGATCCCCAGCATGCACCAATGAACTGCTTGTCAGGCCATGCTGTGGCAGCGTCCCATATAAAGTGGAGGAAGATGGGCATGGATGTTAGCCCAGGGCCAGTCTTCCTCAGGAAAAAAGAGGAGGATTGGCATGGATGTTAGCTCAGGGCTGATCTTCCTCAGGAAAAAAAAAAAAAAAAGATTTCCTTGTCTTTTATTGCATCTCTTTTGAATTCCAAAGTAGCCAAACCAGCAACTAGCTAGTATGATGGTGAGTATGTTAGTAGATAAGACTTTTTAGGAAGATTTCTGCCTTCCAGACAGGACAGGCTGACTTAGACACATGACAGACTCAAATAATAATTCATTTTTTATACAAGGTCCCGTTGGCTTTCCAATGAGCCTTTAAAATACCCTTCACAATGAGAGAGCCACATAAGACAGAATGGGCAGAGGATGGCAACTCAGGGAAGGAAAACAATGTGAGCAGAGGTATAAAGATGAGAATAAATCTATCTGAGTGCCCCTATGTGACTAATTTTCCTAGAACAATTTGCACACATCATCTTCTTTCAAAAAGAAATGTCTCCAATCTCTTCTAACTCGCTTTCAAAACTCTCTAAAATCTGACCTTTTCATCATTTTTCTGGCTTTGTTCATCCATTATTTCTTTAATTCAATAAACGATTATTGAGCACCCATTTCACATCAGGCATTGCTCTGGAGAACCAATGATAGCCACTATCTTTTGGAACTTTCAGTAAAATACAAAAGATCGCTACTAAAAAACAATTAGGAAATACAAGGTTAGGCTGTACCGTGTGCAGAAGAGGCAACAAGGAAGGGGTAAGCACTGTACTTAAGGCTGGAGAACAAGGTCTCAACAGAGTAAGAGTCACTTCCACTCTTGAATAATGAGTAGGCATTCACCAGGCCAACATGAAAAACAAGAGCTTCAAACCAGCAGAAGTAGTCATTTATGTAACCAAGCCGAGCCCAGGGCAAGACCATGGGAGGCTTGTGTGTCATCTGAAGGCGCCTGAATTTGATTCTAAGGCACCAGAGAACCATTGAAGACTTCTAACAGGGATGGTGGCAAATGGGGTTTGACTTTTGGGAATTTTGCTCACAAAATTGTACAGTGAAGCCAGCCCAGAAATGGGGAAACAGAAATGAGGCCACTGCAATCCAGGCAAGAAGCAGAGAAGGGTTGAGTTAGGAGGTAACAGTAGGGAAGACTGGGAAGGGAAATATACAAGTTAAATCAGTGGGGTTTAACTACTAATCTGGCAGATGAAGAAGACAGACGTCCCTAAAGGGAATCTCAGCTTCTTAGCCGGGGTGACTGGACAGATAGTGGTTTTGTTAAGCATGGCACAGAACACAAGAGGAAGACCAGTCTTATCTTTATTGTTCCTGGCCCATAGACTCGGGTGTTTTGCACCAGATTCTCCCACACGTACCAAGCTCATTTATACTTTGCAACCTTGCTCCTGTGATTTTTTCCCACCTGTAAAGCCCTCCCCACTCTTGACGCCACCACACCTGTAAGCAAAGCTCGAGCTTCCAGTTCAGGCTGCAGTTAGACCAAGAGGTCTGGAAGGCAGGTGAGCATGAGCTCTGGAGTCAGAGAAAATATAAGTTCAAGTCCCGGCTCTTCTGCTTACTAGCTCTATAACTTTGGGTAAGTTATTTTACTTCTTGATACTTCCATTTGTTCACATATAAAATGGGATACTAATGATACCCACTCATAGGGTTGCTGTGAGGAAGTGCCTAGTACATAATAAGCACTCAATAACTCTTATTTACTATATTTAAGTTATATATTATATGTAAAATGTCATTTATTTCCTCCTTATTCATGAAATAGCACAAATATAGACTGGTAATTCTGTCCTGAGGAAGACACAGTTTAGAGGTTATAATAGGAGTAGATCTTCCAGGGTAACCTAACAGCATACCCCTAAGATCAAGTTAGTAAATACTTCTAGAGCTCGTACTATGTACCCAGAGAAAAATACAAGTACCAAACAAAATCACACACGTAACAGAAGCTAAGTATTATTGACTTTTTATTATATTCTCTGTACTGTTCTAAGTGTTTTATGTTAACTAACTCAATAAATCCTCACAACCATGACGGGAAGTAGGAACTAATTTAAAAGAGGATTTGGAAGCATAGGGATGCTAAGTGACCTGCTCTGGGTCACACAGTTAGTTGTAACAAAAACAGGACTTGAACTCAGCATTCCTACTCCGGAGTTTATATAATATCAACCATAAGGGCAAGAGAAAATCAAATAAAGGTAAAATTAGTGGAGGTTAAGCTAAGTTTCCTGGAACTAGTAGGAAAATAGATCTAGAGGTTTGGGGAGGGTTAGTTAAAGAGAACAAGAGAAGAGAGTTCGTTCCAGATAAATGAGGGGGAGGGGAAGGATAGGACAGTATTATCAACATGAGAAAAAAGGCCAGAATTTAAAAAGCCATGTTCTGTCTGAGGAATAGTGATGAGATTAGCCAGATGTGGGCCGAAGTTTCGTGCTAGGGAGACATGGGAAATAAATCTGGAGGACATACAGGCTGGGGCATGATCGGTGAGGCCAGAAAACCAAGCGCAGGACCACCACCACCACCTGCCTTCTCAGGCCCCTCCTCATGCTGTTGAGCAGAGCTGGGGAAAATCACAGGCTACAGAGAGTAGCTATTTCACCCTTGAGTTTCCATTCCAATGGACCCTCGGTGACGTCTGGCTATCTACTTACAGGACCATAATCGTTTCCCTCTTTTCGTGCCTTTTTCAAAACTCCCTACTCTCCTCAAGTCACTATACCTGGAATTTTTTTCCTCTGAAATCTCTTTCATATCCATCCTCTCATTCCATTGCTATTTCCTCAGTTCCGGTCTCGTCATTTCCTCTCTGCACTGTAAGCAATGAGGCTGGTCTCTCTGCCTCGCTTAACTGTTGCAGAGGCTTGCTAATCAATCTCCCTGCCTCTTAATTTCCCTCTTCAAATTCATCTCCCAGAGTTGATTCTAGAATCATCTAAAATGCAACTGTGATAACATTACTATGCTGCCTGAAATCCTCCAATATCCCTATTTCTTATAGGTTTAAATCCAAAGGTATTATCATGCGTACTGGGACATTTATGATCTGCTCCCTGCTTACTTTCCCAAACTTAATCTTCTCCCTGTCCCCAACATACCATTCTACAAAGTGTTTCCTAAACTGGCCACACCCATAGGGTGCCTCCAGGCCAGCGTGCACACTCCTCAAACCTCAAGCATTCTGCAGCTCTTCATTTGACCTGTTACTTCTAATCTACCCTCTTATAGGCCATCCCTCAGAGCACACTTTCCTGACCTCCACTGGCAGAGTGGTGTTTCTCTCTTCCCTTTGTAGCACTTCGTTCTTGCATTTGTACAGCACACCACATTGCTGTAGTAATTTGTGCAAATATCTCTCCCATCAGACTGTGCCATCCCACAATGGCAGAAGCATTATCCCTTTCATTTTTTGTGTCCATAGTGCCATGGTGCCTGGAGACATATTGATAAATGACTAAACTAGTAAAGATTAGATATAAAAGAAGAGAAAGATGGAGACGATCAAATATGACTCTAAAGATTTTTTTCAGGAGATTGAAAATGGCAGAATTGTTCAAAGAAATGTTGAAGGAGAGATGTTAAAAACACTGTCAGAAGTCTTCAGTTTAAGATGAGGACTTGGATACGTTAGCTTGTAAGTGAGTGGTCAGGATCAGATATGTGGATTTGGGAATCATTAAAATAATACAAAGACGTTATGACCAAGGTTGAGTTTAAAAAGAGGGGAGGACGGATCAACAAAAACTGAGTTCTGGAGGAATCCTTACATTTAGGAAGCTACAAGAGGATTGGAGTCTTTGCTAGAGATAAAAAGACTTATTTTCCCCTCTTGGAACATGACCAGAGAACCAAAGACAGAGCGTTAGTGAATGATCCCAGTTGGGAGGGAAAGTAAAAAAAGAAGAATGAGCCAAGAAGAGAGAGAAGGCTCGGTTAAAAGAGTAAGTGGATGGAATACATTCCTTGATGAATATATTCATCCATCATTCAACAAATGCATCTTATGTTAAATTTTAAACAGTGAATTACTCCGCAAATATAAAATGTGAAAAATAGTAAAACTGCTTACATGCAAGGCATTAAAATCTTTTTTCTTTTCAAAGTGAAAAAAAAAAATGAGGAATTATCTAAAACTGAGAAGTCATAGTCTTGCCACTAGAGTCAACTAGCTCTTCAGAGCCACATGGGAGGCCCATAAGAACTTGAATAAACTAAAAATTAAATTAGCTCTGAAAATTAAATGAAGCTAAATACATGTGCACATGAAATAGGATGAATAATGTAAAATATATGACAGCTGTGTTTAGTTGAAATAAAAATGGATAACATCCTTTCGGAAAAGATGAACAACACTGGTGACTTTTGACTATACCCCATAGATAGATCGCCTGAACATAACTGTATAGTAGCTGTAAGTAAGTAAAGCATCCTATGCCTCTCCATGCTGTACCTTTGTTGTTTGAGTTATATGGGGATTTATGACTATGGGAGAACTCAGCATATTTTCTGCAGGCAGCAGCTCTTAGCTTAGAAAATAAAGTGACTCAGTGAGAGAGGTGGTAACATCATGAGAGTGAGACTACAGAGGCAAGGTAAATGCAGACCACCCCATGAATTTTTGAAGATCATTTGTAAAGTCAAGGGACTCAAGCCTCCAGCAATGTGCAGGACTGACATCCCATCATGTTTCCTCTGATAGGAGTTGGGCTTTGTGACTGATTCTACTCCGCAAATATTCGAAAGACGATGCATACAGAAAAGTTGGGTGGGAGAGAGCAGGAGAAAAGAGTGCACTGAGGTATTTTCTGCTCTACTAGGAAACATAGGAATAGGCTCAGGATCAGAGTGAATTTACAGGAGACATATTTAACTAGAGATTATAAAGTGCTAGGGTGGATCTCCAGGCATTTCTTTATGAGTCGATTAGACATCTCTCTGAATAAGCTAAGAGCAATCAAGTCAATACTTTTGTATAAACCAACTACAGTGCACACTGGAGTTGTTGTTATCCTGGAATTAAAGATGGTCTTGTTAAATTATTACAGTCTCTTCTAGGGCATTATTGTATGGAACGGGGAAATAGTGAAAATAAGGACAGGTTTGCACCTACTCATCTATGATTGCATTGAAAACCTCCTATATATGAGGCACTGTGTTAGGCACTAGGATACAAAAATGAATGAGACAATGCACCTGCCCACGAAAACTACACAGTCTAATAGGAAAAACAGGAAAGTAAACCGACAGGTAAAGCCATAAAGAAAAAAGTGTTATTGTAGGAGAAACACAGATTAGTGTTACCTGACCTAGAGGTGGGCATCAGAGAGGCCTTCTGGAAAAGAGGACTCTTGAGCTGAGCCTTGAAAATTAATAGAAATGTTGTGAGTGAAGGAGGGAAGGAAGATGGTTTATGCAGTGGGAACTATACAGAGGAAGGCCAGAAGTCCAGAAAGAACATGATCAGTTTAGAGAACTGCAAGTAGCTCATTAATGCTAAGCAACAAAAGACAAGACTAATGAGGTAAGCAGGGACCAGGAAATAAACTCTTTATCCAGGATATTGAGGGATTTGGACAATACTCTAAAGGCTATGAAAAGTCATTGGTAGACTGCAAAGCAAGGTGTATTACAATCAGATTTATGCTTGAGGACGATCACTGTCTTCAATGTCGGCAAAGGATTGGACCAAAGTCAAGGATGTTAATAGTGTGATGCAACAGTATGGCCAAGGTAACTGAATAATTCTGCAAAGGCCTAACATGATAGAGTAAATAGCAGTAAAAATAGAAAGAAATGGATACATTTGGAATAGAATCAATAGATGACATGAGTAGATGTGCAGAAGTGGGGAGAGAAAGGAATCAAAGGTAACTCACTTGAACCACTGAGATGGTGGTGTGAAAATTGAGAGCCCACATTCTGGAATCTCACACCCTGGGGTCACAGCCAAAGTTGGCCACTGGCTATGTGATGTGAGCAAGTTAATTTGACTCAGGTTGCATATCTGTAAAAAGGATGATAATAATAGTACCTATCTCTCATGGTAGTTATTAGGATTTAGTGCCTAATTTTGGATTTACATAAAATACTGTGTTTGGTGTCTGGACATGGAAATAATAAATGTTAGCTACTGTTATTACTAATTGGATAGTGTAATTTGCCTAAATGAGGACAGTTAGTGGAGGAACATATTTCAGTGGAGTGAGCATGTTAAGTTCAGTTTTGCCCGTGTTGTATTTCAAGTATCTATAGAATGCAAGGGTACAGTTAGAAATAGACAATTCGAGCTCAGAAGAAACATCTGGCATGGAGACACAGATGTGGGAACAGTCAGTATACAGATGGTTTGTTGAAGATTCTGGAGTAGATTGATTACTGGAGGAAATTTTGCAGAATAGAAAAGAAACCCTGAAATAGCTAGAATTCTGGGGAGAATGGGATGAAGAACCTGTAAAATAAACAGAAGGAATTTCCAGAGAGGGAGGAGGAAAACCAGGGGAAAGTAGAGTCACAAAAGCCAAAGGACGAGGCTTTCAATAGTGGTCAATAGAAAGAGGTAAAGATAAGAACTGAAAAAGCACCAGAAACAGGCACTGGTCACCTTGAGTGCAGTTTCCATGAAGTGGTGGAGGGAATAAATTAGATTTCATGGAGTTGGTGAATGAATTGATGGGCAAAAACTAGAAAGCAAGTAAGAGCAGACAGGGGCTTTAACAAACTTGATTATGAGAGAGAGAGCAATAATGACAAGGAGAAATGAGGCAGGTGTTTTTGTTTGTTTTACTTCTTAAGACAGAAGAAACCTGAGCCTGTTAAAATCCTGATGGGAAAGAGCTAGTAGAGTGGGAGGAATTATTTGTAGATACACCAGCAAGACTCAGTATTGATAGGGCACTGTTCCTGAGGAGGTGAGAAAAGAGTGTAGGCAAAGAGATAACCTTGGAGGAAAAAAAGGGGCGTCTTTCCTTTCCTGTCAGCAGGGATTGTGTCTAATTCACTGATCCATTTGCAGCACCTAGCACAGTATCTGACACATAGAAGAATCCAATAAACGTCAAATCAGTAAATGGATAAGTGAGCGAGTTAAAGAAGGAATGAATAAGGTACAAGGAAAAGGGATAAGGATGATCACAGTTGCAGATCAATTTTAGGTTTTGGGGCAGGAAGCAGTGGGTTCTCACAAGCTGGTCTCTCTATTCTCAGTGAAATAGAATGGAAAGTCATCAGCTGAGAATGATGAAGGCAATGGCGGAGGGAAGGGACGCGAATAGAAGCATAGCAGTTCATTGTGGGAAATGGGAAAGGTAGATGACAGGTGGAATGATAACAAGATTAAGTCCCATTCATGTTTAGAAAAAATAAACTGGTGCAGTATTACAGGTGATCTGAATTTCTTAGTGACATCTAAACACTCTGCAGTGGGCCTGTTCTGGGACTTAGTCCCAATAAACATCTCAAGCAAATTAGGGCAATGCATCCCTTTGTTTGAACAATCAGAGGCACTGATCCCGAAGGTCTTTGCACATGGTGTCCTATTTAGATGAGCCATTGCATTGTCCTCAAGGTTGTTTCCTTTTCTGTTGCAGCAACTGACACACCCACAACCAGTACAATTTCACATTACACTTCATTCCCCTTCATTGAGGCAAAGATCTTATGATAAAAGGCTAGACTGGATCAGATTTGCTGCATTACCACAGGGCAGGGATCTCTACGTTTGCCAAAAAGGTCCATCTGAAGCCCTGCCTCCAAATCAATGAAGCCCGGTGCCTCAATAAATCCTTACTCAGAAACATTGTGAGCTGGACCGGCTCATGGGCGATCACGCTGTCCTCACCATCTTGAGCCAGGCCTCTCATTTATCAGCATCTCCAGTTGACATGTCGGGTGTTCACAGTCCGTATTTCCTTCCCCCAAACATCTTGGCTCTTTCCACTTTATCTTTGAAGGATTCTGGAAACACACTTAAAAGCAATTAGCCTTGCGACAAAATCAACACAGTCCATTTTACACACAGTTCTTGACTTGACTTTGCTATTGACTTTATTTCAAAGAAAGATGGTATCATGAGGTGGAAATACTCTTAATAAACAGGGATCCACTCAGTCAAGGGTACTTGACTCTTCTCGTTTGTATGCAAGCACACGGGGGTTTTGTGCCTCACCAAGACCCTGGAGACACTAAAGGCAAAAGCCAGAGAGGCTCCACATAATAAGACTTTATCAGTACACAACTCTTCACACTTCAGCATCACACAAAACGTTTGTTTATTCCTTAAGGGAGCTCTCCCAACTCAAGGAGTCTGTGCCAGCCACTCAAAATCCAGTGCAGACCCAAAATTCAGACAGGTGGGAAACTGCTGTTATTGAGCATGGCTTTTAAGCTAATGAATAACAGTTTCTGTTGCTGCCTCCTCCCCAACTCCACCCATTTCCTCGGAATAATTAATCTAGAGAGGTTATTAAGTCACATCAGGCTCATTGTCCCCATCTGAAACATGTTTCAAAATCATTTAAAATACACAATTATCCATGCATATATCACAAGTAGAAAAAGCAGTCTTGAATTTTTTTTATTTTTTATTTATTTATTTTTTAACACTCCACTTACCGCCAGAATTTTCTTTTAAATCATGAAGACTGAGGCACCAAAAGAAAACTCATGTTCCTATTGTGCCCAGTTAGTCAAAAGACAGAAACTTCTGGGCTGTGACAGTGTGAATTATTTCCTCAAATGATTTTGAATAGTCATTAAGAGTTCTTGGTCGCATTGAAGGAAGGTACACTAATTTTTGCAAACTGATACCTAAATGTAAGCCCACTTTCAGACATTGCTGCTATCTTTTAAAGAGTTACAGAGAAAAACTATTATAATTAGAATTTTTTTTATTTGGTAAGGTCACCTTTCTGCCTCTCCTAAACTGACCCAATGTGATCCCAATATTAAGGATAGAATCAAGATATTTAGTTAATACTGAGGAATGTAAGTATTCTTTCAAAAACACCAATAATTTATCATAAAGATAACTTGTACAATGATTAGCAAGGATAAAATTCAGAAAACCATTTTTCCCTAAAGAGAAATAGAAATGTCTGCTCTCAGAAGTAAATCATCTTGGTAAACTGTTGTACAGAGGTGTGAGGGGAAATGCTCTGCACCAAAGCCTCTTGAATGAGTCATAATTTCCTTATATACTAACTAGCCAGGATGTCATATAGATGCCATGCTTACGGTCATCACAAAGGTTTGAACATAGTATATCTTGGTACTGTACTGTAAATTTATCAACTTCTATTTCACTCCAAACCCCCTGAGGAGGAGGACGTTTCCCCTTCGCTAGCGGAAGCACATCCCAACACAAATTCTAAAGGAGAGGCAACATTGCCAATTCTCTAGGAGCGTGGAAAGTTGTGAAAATTGCAAGAGATTCTTACAACCCTCCTCAAAGCCTCCCCATCCCAGTTCGAGTCGCTGTTTAAATATTCTACCTTAGATTCTTCAGGTGATGTCATGCACCAGGCAGGCTACTTGTCTGATCTTCATCCCACCAATGCAACCTGGAAAATAGTCTGTCCCACTGGCACATCTGTCAGTCGTTTATTCACCTTCCTGATACGCAATATTACTGAGCTTTTACTGTGCAGCAGGCATTGTACTCAGGGATTTTTACACATCATCTCATTTGCACCTGAATAGTTATCATCTCAGTTTTAAAGATGAGGAGTTTGAGATTTAGCAACAGTAAGCTCAAGGTCACCCAATCAAAAAATGGAAGAACAAGGAGTCTAACCCTAGCGTCTAATCCAAAGCTTCTAACAGCAACTCTACCCTCCACTTCCTCATATACTTGACCATGGTACTCGTTTCTCAGAGATGAGGTACAGAGTGGCTGTATCTGCCTAAGAGAAAGGGAACTTCTTCTTATGTATATGACAATCAAATAGCTTCATTCATTACATGAGATGTATTGAACACCTGCTAGAGTGTTCTGAGCACTGTTTTAGACCCTGGGAACACAGTCATGAACAAATAAGACAAAAATCCCTGCCCCAAGGAGCTTACATTCTAAGGAGGAGACAGAAACGGGGAATAAATACACACAGTAGTATACACATAGTAAATATACACATAGTAAATCAGATTGGGACCTGTCAGATTGTGGAGAACAATTAAGCAGATAAGAAGGATGTGAAATGCTGAAATAGGAGGAGTACAAGTTTAAACAGAGTAGCCAGAGATATCAAATAGCCCCGTTTCAGAGCGCAGAGGTATTTTGATTCTACATGCAAGCACTAGCAAATGTCATTTATAAATCAATGCGTGACACAACAGGATTTTTCCCGTTGATGAAATGTTAAAACATCAGGCTGGCCTACATTAGTCGTTTGGCTTTCAAGCACAGGAAGTACAGCATGAGGGATACTATTCAATTATATTTCATAAACGTTTATTACACTTATTCCAAAAGAAAATGCACTCTACGTTCTAATTCAGGACTGAAACCTTTCTCATCGGCGGGAATAGGGACCTCTAGGTAGGTCAGAGATTGAGAGACGTTTGTGATAATTGTTCTGTTACTCATATACACTTAGCTCTTTTCATTTTTGTAAGAGAAAGTATGGCGAGCTCTACCTAGGTCTTCTGCCCTGGGGAATAAGAAACAGTTGCCTTTTTAGGGACAGAAGGGACAAGAGACTTCCACCTTTTCAGCGGCAGCCGGAGTGGGTAAAGCGCAGATTGGGGCAAACTGTCTGGATCAATCCCAGTTTTACCACTTGTAGGTGGTATACACGTTCCCTCATTTGTAAAATGGAGGTAATGATAGTACCTTCCTCACGATGCTGTTGTTGAGACAAAATGAGCTAATATGTAAATGAAGCACTTAGAACAGGGGTTGGTGCACAGCAAGTAATGAGTGTTTTCTATTATTAGCTTCAAAATAGCTTTCGCTTTTGTAACATTTACTATGCTCCGAGCACTAGCATAAGCACTTCATATACATCATCTCATTTATCCACACAACCATCCTGGGAAATAGGTAGAATTTCTTTCACTATTTTACTGAAGAGAAAATTGAGACTCAGAAATAGTAGAGGTGCCGAAGTCTAACAGCTGGAAAGTGCTGGAGGCAGGATACCAACGCAGAGTGACCACTGTAAAGAGGAGACTTTGACATTGGTAAATTAGAGGAAATTACCAAAAGCGGAAAAGTTCAAGCTTATCATAGGCAGCCTAAATTAGCAGCCCGTGTATCCCCTGCCTTCCTCTTGACTCTGTGTTGCCTAAAGAAAATGCTTTGCCCAGTATAGGGGAGAATCCTTGATTTCCATGGGCTCTAAAAATTACAAATTTAAGATGCAGAGCAACATCTAGAGAAATGACTTCCTGCAGCTTCGTGAGTGACAGAGAAGCCAGAGATGATTAAATGTGACAGCAGATGGATAAGAAGAATGCCTGTCGAAAGTGAGATTTGTGTCTTTTGGAGGCAAACCCCACCTTAGTTTCATATCTATTAACCTAGTATCAATCAACATCCAGTAATGGGAAATGAACTCAACATAAATCATATTGACTTAGCAACTCCTAAGCTCTTTATATTTCCTAAGTTCTTCATGACAATATACCCAACAATTCTTTATTTCTGCAGAATAACAGACTGTTCCCCAGAAAATTTTCTTCACTGTAATTCCAGTCTGATCATCATGCCCCTTTTCAAGACTGAATCTTTACACATGGATTTTAATTTTTAACTTCAAGCATTTTTTGATGCCAAACCCTGTTTCAGGGGCTAGCTATAAAAATATGCAATACACATTATTCCTGCCATCAAGGTCTTACATATCAGAAAAGAAATCAGACCCAAAATAATAATAACGTTTGTGATTAGGGCTGGAAGTATCAAATGAGCACGTGGAACTCCATGGAAGAAGCAAAATTTAGAATAACATTATTAAATTTTTTCTTTATTCAATAATTCATTCATTCATTTCATGAATATTTATTGCACCTATCAGGTGCCCAACCTTCATGTTGTTCCTTGCATGTAGGTAGGGCAAGGATCCTCAAGGATCCATCATTCTAGGGATGAAAGAGAGACAATAACAGGTAAACAAGTGAAGTAACAGGGTCCTTTCAGAATGTGACTATTAGTACAGATGAAATAAACAGGGAGATATGAGAAAGAGTAACTTGAGGAAGGGTTAGTACCCACCACTTTCTGTAGAAACGTTAGCTTCTCTGGATCTCTTTCTTTTCACCTATAAAATTAAGAAAATCCCTACTTCATAAATACTGTAAAGATTAAATAATTCAATAAAGTCCCTAGTGCTATGTTTAAGATATATTGTGTTCAATAAGGTATTATTATTATTGTTACTGTCAAAGGCTTCTCTGTCATTTGGTTAAATCCTCCACGTTTTCCCACAGATGGGAAATCTCACCACCCTAAATGTAAAATTAGCTGTCGTGTATGGAGGACCACACTCTATGCTGGTGCTATACAGAAATTACTTCATTTATTCTTTGTACTTGCTCCCATTTCACAGGTGAATATACTGAGGCTTAGAAGGGTGAGATGTCTTGCCCAATGACATACAGCTAGTAAGCGGCAGAAATAGCATTAGAATCCAGCTGTGTCCTGCTCCATGGTCTGTCCCCTTATCCACTATACTAATACTAGAAAGCAACCTGGACAATATCATTGAGAAGAGACTCAAATCTGGAGCCTCATAGCATTGGGCCAGCATGCTGTGGTTTGCATCATACACCTCATAGACTCGTGTAGGTTTCTAGTCAAACAGGTAAAAAGCTGATAAAGGCAAAGAAGCTTCATTCAATCTGTTGGGTTGACACAGGGATATGAACACTCCTCACCAAGGATGCAGATTTCAAGACAGGATAAGGAATGTAACATCCCCTTATATTAGAAAGGTATAGTATGTGTTACAACGTGTTTCCACATCTTTCTTGCAATTAATCTTCAAATATATTTTTTCCTATATTAAACACAGACACCAAGGCTCAGAAAGTTTTGAGTTGTCATGAGTGGTAAAGTCGAGTTTTCAAACCAAGTCTTCTGATTCTGAGTCCCATGTGTAGCACATTGGAAAGCTAAAATCAGTGGAAAATGCTGAATTTATGGCTTGGTGAACGTATACCTTCCCCATTTTGGCTGTCTCTGTGAGTTCTTTCAGGACAGCTAGAAAATTAGCTCTGTAACTCCAGAGAGGCCCGAGCATGGAACAGGCCGTCTCTCCTGAGAGACACAGGTAGAGAAGGAGTTGGCTGCATCCCAGGTGCTCTCAGCCCCGTGATGAGGGAATTTGTCCAAGACCTTTGGAAGCAATACAACTAAATGCCCACTAAAATTTGGCAGCCCTGAGAGCTTTACTTCTATTTAGAGATGACCCCCTTTCCCCTCCATCATTCACATTTTACATTTTAAAATATTCTCATTGATTTCCCATCCCCTGCTATGTGAGCAGCTGAAGGATCGCTTGTCTGTATCACGGTCTACAATGTCACCCTTACCAAGTCGTACAACCAGAGAAGCACAGAGGAGAGATGAGATGGGGAAATATCTCCCTCAGAAAGGATCAATATCTTCATACAAGTGTTACAGCTAGCAACTGCATCCCCAGCTCAGAGCCAGCCAAGATGCCTCATTCAGAATTTCTAAGGTCTGGTTCCAAAGAGAAAAATGACCGGGAGAGGTAAACGCACCCTAGAGAGCAAAGATAGCAAAACCAAAGCAAGATGTATTAGGGCAGGCTTTTCCAC